ATATAAGAGTTGGGAGGTTTCAAGGACACCTGTCTTATCACTGATTAAACCTAACATTATTTTCAATGGTAAAAGTAAGCAAGGACCCTTGGACACCCGCCTTATTGAGGGCTAGACACTGATAAGAGTAGCAGGGGAATCCTGTCTTATCAGTGACTAGTCTGATATAAGAGTTGTGAGGTTTCAAGGACACCTGCCTTATCATTGATCAAACCTAACATTCTCTTCAATGGTAAGAGTAAACAAGGACCCTTGGACACCTGCCTTATTGAGGGCTAGTCAGTGATATGAGTAGCAGGGGAATCTTGTCTTATCAATGACTAGTCCGATATAAGAGTTGTGAGGTTTCAAGGACACTTGCCTTATCAATAAACATCCTAGGGCTTAGTCGGTGATAAGAGTAGTAAGGATCCTCGGGCACCCGCCTTATTGAGGGCTAGTTAGTGATAAGAGTAGCAAGGGAATCTTATCTTATCAGTGACTAATCCAATATAAGAAGTAGCGATGTTTCAAGGACACCTGCCTTATTAGTGGCTAGCCATAGGATAAGCCTACCGCTAAATGTGCTTGGCACACAGTGGCCAAGACCCACAAGTTTGCCCTTGTGAAACAAAGCTCCAGTAACAGATGGATATGTCCTAAATGGTCTGCCATACCACCGCTAACTTTCTCCACAATCTGCATTGTTCGGTCCTAACTATCTCTGATTCTACTGAAAGAGGATAATTGAGATCTTGCCTCAAAAAAGATTATTCATTCATCTGATTCCTTTCCATGAGATTCTTTCCACAAGTTGGATAAATGATGTGATCAATGCGTGTTGGAAGAAGGAAAGGGACCTCAGATAGGATAATCCCAAAAGAGATAAGAATGAGATAGTGAAAAAGAGTATGGAGAATTGCCGTGATGGTAAAAGGGAAGTGAACTGTTATTCACTACCTGAAGCGAAAGGGCAACAGACCTAACATTTAGTTAAGGATAAAAGTCAGACAAAAGACACAGAGTTTAGAAGGAACTTTCTAGATCTTAGTAGGGAAGAGGGATGTTAAGTTTCTCTTGGACTGTATTGTGTCTACAGGTTTCGACATTTCGGAGAACTTACGGAAAATCCGTAAGAGCAGCAATTCTGTTATCTCTGGATAACAGGTCGGTAGAACTCCGACTCAACTTCCATCCATGGCTTGACACCCACACCTAAGACAAGACCTAAGAAGGGAACAGATAAATCTTCCCCTTGTATCTATGCCTAAATTGTCCAAATCACACTCAGGAGACTTCAAAATGTGTGGGGCTRGGGTAAAATGGAGTCASGGTTAGGAAGGAATRTTGTTTTCAAGGGTTTGGGGCGTGAGTGRCATGYTGTGAGTGGGTTAAAGGTTGACACTCRTAGCGCATTYTGTGTCTGCATTTGTATGTGTGTATGTGTTTTCCTGCATCTKCRCAGKTGTTGGACATTTGTACTGTCTCCTGAGTTTGGGATYTTCTGGAAATTCGGGCAAAGGGACACGACAATCGTGAAAGTGAGGTCCACCGCTCAGTCAGCTCCCCTGATTTACATACATACATATATCTATATATACTTGTGAATRGGATCGTAGGYTGGTMRGTACCTAGGAAGTCATTTTATTTGGGACTTCTTTTGAGAGGAATGAGAGATTACTAAAGACTTRACTCTGACATTTTTATAAGGTCAACAAAGGAAACATAGAATCATTGTCTTAAGCTARCTAAGCGTGGAAGACTGTCCGAGAAGTCGACYTGATTAGATARTCGGYCCGAAGAGTTAGCATCTCGGGGCTCGACATAYGGGTCAGTCTTAARGSGTTCTACCRCGCGTATGCCTATGCTACGRCGATCGAGAAAACGYCCTCGGYTGGCCTACCTCTGCGATTGCACGTAAAAGCCTTCGCACGTGGGTCAGTAGCTCAGCAAGGATACGCCCACCTAAGGGATGGTGACAGCTCCCGCAGGTGGAGGTAATGTTGTACCTCGCGGGTTCCCTAACCTGTCGTAGGGAGTCGCGAGAGGTATAGCACATGCGCACGGTCGGAGTTGGTATTTCGTGAAGTAACCAAGAAACTCCTGCGTGACACAACCGTGAGGTCCGACACCAAAAAAACTACTATGAGTATGGGTGTGGGACCGCTGCGCGCGACAGGCGGCGCTGTTGCCAGGGATCTCGCTTCTAGCCGAGGTCCTTAGTGAACGAACTCGGGTAAAGCAAGATCCAAGCAGAACGACAATTATTAAAAGGTCAGTAATTAACTAAGACTCTAAGTAGAATAAGGTAACTTGGATAGATGGTGACGAGTAATTGCTCTAACTAAATCAGTGAGTAAATAAGAGTTAGCGAATATGGCACCTAAGGGCCGTGGGACGGGAGGAAGAGGCGGCAGACAAGGAAAGACGCCTGAAAGGCCTGTGGACTTGACCAGAGAAAGGGGAGATTGAAATGAAGATGATGAGGAGAAAGATGAAGGATTGAGGGCAAGAAGGTATAGGAAGGAGAGGCGCATGCATATCCCAGACCCTGACGAGATGGCTTATTATTCATATAGGTATGCAAGGCGTTATGGAGAATCTCCGTCACTCTTCGCGACGCCTAGTCGCCCGCATCCTGACCCTTATCCACTATCTCAAGAACGACAGTTGGCTATCCTTTCCCCGCCTCACCAACAGGGACCCCGCGGGGCACCAAGCGTGTCTGATCCTCCTGTAGTTGCGCAGTCTGCGTCTCCTGATAGAAGGATGTGCATATCACTTTTAATGTTTCTACTATGTCAAATAGAGATCTGTGGGTTAATAACATACTTGCTGTACAAAAGATTATATAAAGGTTTAAAAGGATCGAAGGAGATGATGGGATAGAAAGGGGAATCAGTCAGATTTTGGGATTATAAGTCTACTAGCTAAAATGAAAGAGATGTGGCCTGGATTGTGTTGTGTAGTAGGTGGATTGTGCCGACGAGAAAAATGATTTCTGCCCGATATCAAATCACGATCAGAAAGCCCGTGCAAATGAGGCGTGGCATGATGATGAATCTGCCAAGTCGTCATGAGGAGAACAAAGAGACGGGGTATTGTTGGGGGATTTCTATAGAGGAACAAACTTTCATTTGGATCGAGTCTGGATGGGTTAGAGACAAAAATCGCGCAGTAGAAAGGGTTACCTTGTATCTTTCTTCGGAGAAATTGCAAACTATCATAATAAATTTAGTCTTAGGAACTGATCGATCTCTTTCCAGACTATTGTGGATAGCAGAATCCGCGCTCGAGTCTAGGAGAAGAGATGCAAGTTTGAATAGGTTTGAAGGAATGATGGGAACTATGAGGGTAAGAAAGGCTAACGATTTTCTTCCGCCAGCAACGTATCTAAGAGGGACCCTTCCTATGTTCATCATAGATGCAACCTTCGGAGGGAGGACCCGAGTGGAAAGGGCTGCGGAAGCCGCAATGGCAATACCTGAGAGAGAATATCACGCATCTACCCCTCTGCTGGTATACTACATATACCTAGAGATAGGGCACTTGATTGAAGGAAGGGATCCTCAAGACGTACTATCAAGGGTCGACTCATATGCACGTCAACACGATTGGGGAGATAGGTATATCTACTGGGAGGAACTGAAGCAGAGGATCCTCGATCAACTGGGAAGGGGTGCTCAAGGGAGACCGAGATAGAAAATTGTTAAGAAAATGGAAAAATTGAGCAGTTACTAAGAAGAGAAAGATCCTTTCTTTGGCTGTTGTGACAGGTATACCAGGATGACTCCTTTAATGTGGTTCGCTGATCGGAGCTTCCTGATCAATCTGCCAGAGCCAAAGGAAGGAGGAGTCAAAATGACACTGCCGAAGAGGACAATATATATGGATGAGGAAATGGATTCATGGTGCGGGATACCGATAGGACAAGAAGCCTTCCTTTGGATAGAAACCGGGTGGACCACGAGGGAAAGGCAGGCAATAGTAAAAGTGACACTTCATTTACCGGCCCTTCTCTGGAGAGCACACACGATCGATCTTGCGATAGGGGAAAGTCGACCCATCTCTAAGTACGTATTGATAGCCGGATTGACCCTTGACGCATTTTAATAGAGAATGTATTAGGGAGAAGAAAGAGAAGTTATAAAATCAATTGAAGCAAAGTGGGCCGCTGAATTCGTGTATCCAACAAGGTACATTAAAACCACGCTTCCGAGCTTCATAATTGATGAAGCATTATGGGGGATTGAGAATGTAGAACGAGCAGTACTCGCAGCCCAATCAGTTCCAGAGATGGGCTTCGAATTCGAGGCATCGAAAGTTGTTTACCGTTTATACTTAGAGATGGGACCGAAACTAAAGAGTAGGGATTTCTATAACGTACTATGTGTAGTAAACACATACCTACGCACCTACCATTTTGAAGATCTTTCGACCTACTGGCGCAATCTTTGCCGGGAAGCATGTATTGAAAAATTTATAGATGAGATCCCTTCTTTATTTGGTATGGTTAGAAGCTTTTGGCACGGGGACTGGGTACCCCTAGAAGAAATACTCGGTTGAGAGAAAGGGGTATGATAAGTCATATATAGGGTAAAAACAAGTGACAAGAGTAAAGATACGTCAAGAGTGACGAAGAGGGTGGATCAATGGTCGTTTTGTGTGTCTTAACATGGTCTACGGTCTAGCAAGAACCAAGAAAGAAAATGGGAAAAGATGGGCGATGCCAGCGCCAACGGAGGGCCGCCAATCCCCGCGGCGGAAATCGTCAAGTTACTAGAGAAAAGAACGATAAAAAAATCTAACACATATTCCCTTTCAAAGGGGATAGGGTCACTCATTGGTTAGAACTACTTGAGCAAATCTTCAACCAATTGACACCGGGCGAGAAGTTCGCCCAGTTGTTCGAGCATGTATGGTGGGAATGCACCTCTGACGTGGAAGAGGTAGTGAGAAAATCGAACAATGATTGGGCTGAGTTTAAAAGGGGTACGCAAAAGACGTTTAAGCTGGGAGATGGTTTGCTCACAATTGACCATCTCTATAACATGAACAGAGATGACTTCACCACGATCACGGCATTCACCAACACGTTTGAAAAGACAGCCGAGAGGGTCCCTGGACTGCCTGAAGAAATGCAGTGCGTCATATTCCTAGAAAAATTCTCTGGGTATGAGGCGATGGAACTAACCCGAGGGGGAGCCGCCGGGAGAAAGACAACCTGGGAAACTATAAAGAGGAACATCGCGGCGGGAGACATGAACCAAGTGTTCCATCACCAAATCAAGGTCGAACGAAAGAAAAGAAAGACAGTAGGGACGATCCAAGGAACGGATAGTGTACTAGGAGGAGTGTTGAGCAATATGGCAAACGAGATAGAAGAGCTTAGGGAAAGAGTGACACCATCGAAAGTGTTAACCGTGACACAGCCGTCAGGAAAGAGAAGAAAGGAAAAGGAAGATGGAGAGGAAGAGGCAGAAGATGGAGGACCAGAAGGAATGGACAAACTGACCAAGTATCAGAGGAAGGCTAAAAATAACGCTATCGGAGGACAAGGGTCGGGAAAAGGACAAGTAACTCAACAAGCGATAGTCCAGTATGAACAGGAGCCGTCAACAAGCACAGTACAATATGGTCAATGGCCCGTGGGTCCGCCTATGAGAGCATGGCCTGGGTACTTCCCAGTAGGGTCATGGCCTACGCGGGGTCCATACCCCATGTTACCCCAGAATCAGAATTTGGGAGGAAACCAAAATACGGGACAACTTCAACTAACACGGCAGAACCAAGCGGGATCTAGTCGCCAAGGTGGTCAGAACCAGAACAGGTCCCAAAGACAAGGACAAGGACAAGGACGTGAAAGAGGTAGGAATGGTGGTAGAAATCAGGGACCAGGGGAACGAGGAGCAGGTAACAGAGGAGGTGGAAACCAAGGTAGGAACTGGGGGCAGTCCCAAGGGGGTGCAAATCCAGTCGGGCAGGAATACCAGCAAGGGTGTGGGCGTGGATACGACCAAAGTTATGGAAGGGGGTATGGTAGAGGAAACGGACAATGGAACGGACAAGGATATGGCAGAGGGTGGATTGATTACAGTGAATGTGTCTGTACCCACTGCACGATCAAAGGGCACACGGGGAAACAGTGTCATGTTAGAAAGCTAGACGAGCGTGAAGAGCTCATAACATCAAACATGGAAGGAGAGGTGTTCGACCAAAATGGTAGGGTGATTGATCCTGAGATTCCAGAGGGCACAAGGGAAGAGGCTCTTCGTGTGGCCGCGCTTGGTCCCAACGCACCAGGGATGTTCCGAATTTGGCAGGAAAGGGAAGAACCAGTAGTGCAGGTCAAAGATATAACTAACTTGGAAGAGAAAGTGAATAGGATGGGGATTGGAGAAGACAAGGGAGACGTGCCGCTGGTGGAAAAAGAAACAGAGGAGGAAGACGTTAGGGCTAATGTCAGAGACACGTTCGATAGGATGGAAAACTTGGTAGACAAAATGCAGAGGCTACATCTGAGGTTGCAAGGGATATGTGAAGAAGCAGGAAAAGATGGAGCTGGATGCCCAAAAGTATTTACTATGAGGCGCGGGGGATCGGGAGATGGGCCAAATGAACCCAACCCGAGAATGTTGAGAGCCAATATGGCCGCAAGGAACAGTGGAAGTCAGAGAAGTATAAGAGGAACGATTTCATTCGCTACAAGAAGACCCGCAGGAGGGAATCCTCAAAAGGAACAAGCTCAGGCTTCCCAACCAGTAGAAGAAGAACCACCTATCACGGTAGAGGGTGATGAAGATGAGGATGAGAAGATTGGGGAGGAAGAAGAAAGGCAGGCGGAGATAAGGGCTAAGAGAAAGAAAGGCGAAGCTAAGGAAGGAAGATCGAAAGGGGATACGGGACCAAGCAAGAAGAGAAAATACCAAACCTCGATCGAAGAAGGAGTGGATCTGGAAGGCCTGGTGAATAAACTGCTGGAGGGGCACAATGAACTACTAAACCTGAAAGAAATTCTCGCTTCGGCTCCTAAGTTAAGAGAGATGGTGAAAGCTAGGTTATCATGTCGGAGAGTAGCCTCGGTCCGAATGGGGGATTTAATTCCCTAGGAGGCTAATTGGAGCGTGGCAGGAAGCAAAATGGAATGGAAGTTCGTGGGAACAGGGTTCATTGATATTGTGGTAAAGGGGAAGATGTGTCTTGGGATGGTTGACACCGGGGCAGAGATGAACATTATAAACGGAGAAACGACAGTAAAACTAAGACTGGAGGTAGATGAAAACGACTGCGGGTTTCTCAATGGAGCCAGCGGCAAAACCGGATACACGGGGGTTGCGTCAAATGTATTGATAGAAATAGGAAGAGTCAAGGTACATACGTGTTTCTACGTCATGCCCAACTTGGACCTTCCAATATTACTGGGAAGGTCGTTCCTGTGCAGATCTGAGGCGCTCATTATAAACAAGCACGACGACACCATGTTCGTTATCCTGTGTGACCCTGCCTGTGGAAACTTTGAGGTTATCACTTGTAGGAATACCGGCCCACACAGCTCGAAAAACAGGCTCAATGTCAGATCCTACACATTCGAGGAATCAGAGAATAGGAGGAGGAAACTGGAATGGGAAGAAGGAGAGGATGAGTTTGATGATGAAGAAGCCAAAGAGCTTGTATTAAGTCTGACCAATATCAGTGACGCGGTGAAACTGGTATCGGCCTATAGGATGACTGATCCTGATGAAGTCAGGGCACTCGTAGAAAGGATCCAAGACGATCCGGAAGGGGGAAGAGTCGATCTCGTTTACAAACCGCCTCCTTCTTCTCAGATGATAGTGCCGCATGCACCGAATGCTCAAGCTGCCGGTCAGCATTTTTTAGGGGTGGGCTCAAGGAGGGCTCCAAAAGGAGGTACAAGATGGTAGATAAAAAGAGTCACCCTGTGCCAGTTCTAGTGAGTCAAGAAGAAGGGGTGTATTATGATCAGGAAAGGGAACTGATACAGCGAATGAGGGAAGGCATCTAGAATAGGCCTTGTCGTATCGACGATGGGACTGAGAAAGAACTGATAATAGGGAAACCTGGCTTTCTGACAAGGCAAGAGGAGGACTTGGTGAAAGAACTGATACGTGAAAAACATGGGGCATATGCCTTCAACGATGATCAACGTAGGAGGCTGGATGTGGACAAGATAGAAATGATCCGCATTCATACTGTACCTCATGAGCCATGGAATGTCCGAGGAGCTAAGTATCCCAACCCCGAGGATCGCAAAAGGGTGGTAGAGTACCTAAATGAAAAAATCCGTACGGATGTTGCAGGATATTCCAGTGGACCGTACGCGTCTCCATGGTTCTGCTTTATAAAGCCAAATGAAGTTCTCAGATGGGTGCAAGACCTCCAACGACTGAACGCGGTAACTGTAAGGGACGCATGAGGTTTGCCTAACGCTGACCAATTGTCAGAAGCCTGTGCAGGAAGGTCGATTGTGTCCCTCATCGACCTCTATTCTGGATATGATCAGTTTCCAGTCTATCCGGCAGACCGTCCCATCACGGCGATGCACACACCAAGAGGATTGGTCCATATGAATGTTGCGCCGCAAGGATGGACCAATGCTGTGGTCATGGTACAACGGAGCATGATCAGGGTTATGCAACCAATCAGCCCTCAGATCACCGAGCCATACATAGATGATCTTGCAGTTAAGGGCCCGATTGAGAAGGATGAGTCAGAAGTGGCTCCAGGGGTGAGAAAATTTGTATGGGAACATGTTCAGGGATTAAGAGAAGTTTTATCTCTGCTAGAAAAATACAACCTCACCGCCAGTGGAGTGAAATCGAGACATTGCGTAAAGGAGGTAACCACTGCAGGATACATTTGCAACGAGCATGGTCGGCGCCCTGATAAGAAGAAGACCAATAAAATCCTGGAATGACCCACCCCTTTTAGAAATGTGGGTGAAGTTCGAAGCTTCCTTGGTACCTGTGGGTTCTGGAGAAGATTCATAGAAAGGTTTGCAAGTAAAACTAAACACCTAAGGAAGCTAGTCCGTAAGGATCAGGAATGGGAATGGGGAAACCATCAAGAACAGGTGGTGGAAGAATTGAAGAAGGAGTTCAGAGAGGGAGGTCTGGTACTAGGAGTACCGGACTTTGATGCGACTATGGAAAGACCCTTCATAGTTGAAACTGGCGCTGGACCAACCGCCCTGGGAGGCGTTCTGATCCAGGCAGACAGTGAAGGAAAGGAGAGGCCGCTGAGGTTTGAAAGCCGAACACTCAACTCAACAGAAAGGAACTACTCGTAGTTCAAAAGGGAAGCCTTGACGGTCCTGCATTGCCTAAGGATCTTTAGGCATTACCTTTTTGGGAGGAGGTTTGTACTGAGGATCGATCCTACGACACTTGTGTACTCGCTCAAGAATTTTTCGCCCTCAGATCCAACCATAGCCAGATGACTCACCTATGGATGCTCGACTTCTAGTTAGAACGGATCCCTTGGAACAAAAACAGGGCGGATGGCATGAGCAGAATTCAGTGGGGAAATAAGGAAGAATCCAATGAAGAAACGCCTCAAGTAGACGGGTTTTTTTACGAAGGGGAAGACATGCGAACTCACGTGAACTGTTGGTTCATGTTTGTCGAGAGTAAGGAAATGAGGAGAGGAAATCCGATGTGGCATCCGCCTCCCCAATTTATGAGAGAACCTTCCCTGATACTCACACCATTAGAAGAGGAGGACTCTTGGGGCGAGAGAAATACGGAATGGATAATGGAGTTGGCTCGGACAGAAAATTATAGGATAACGGATGAGTCGCGAACGATCGAAGCAGGAGTCCAACAGACTGTCGAACAGGTAGCCATGATGGGAAGAATGTACTACATGACAAATTCGTTGTTACAAGTCCAAGCGAATGATGAAAGAGGAATAGTGACGGCCGATGAGATAGTTATTGGGGATGATTACGAGTTTGATGAAGAGAAGGAAGGGGAGTTCGAACAAGAAGAAATTTCAAAGGAATTCAAGAAAGAGGAGTATGATGGGTTCTATTTAGAAATGGGGTTGCTTCTCTTAGGAGATAAAAGAGAGAGAGAAGTGAGTGAGAAGACTCTCAGGATGAGAGACCACTATGTGGTAAGAGGTGGTCACTTGTTCATCAGGGATAAGAGGGGGCCACCATGACGTGTCGTGTATGGAAGGAATCGCCAGATTGACGTAGTAGATATGTTGCATGATGGGATAGTCGAAGGACATCGGAGTTTCGCAGCTACTTATAAGAAGGCGATGAAGCTCTACTACTGGGAAGGAATGTTTGAGATGACGCGAAAATACTGCGAATCATGCGTGCCCTGTCAAATTCGATCGCCTATCAGGTACAAGGAACCCCTGCATCCTAGATATATCAAGGAAGTAGGGGCGGTTGTTCACCTGGATCTACTGGCTATGCCGCTAGGTCTTGGAGGATATAATTATATATTTGACGCAAGGGACAACCTTACAGGATTCGTTGATGGCAGAGCGATCAGGAACAAGACTGGGGCAACGCTGACGGATTGTATTAAAGAATATTATCTCAGATATCATTTCGTATTGGAGTTTACAATGGACAGAGGGTCTGAGTTCACATGTGGGGAGGTGAAAGAATTGCTGAAGGAATTGGGGGTCATAGGTAACAATACAACTCGGGCTCATCTACAAGCGAATGCACCGGTTGAGAGAGGCCATAGCACAATTACTAACTTGTTGGCCAAATGGACCAGTGGGAAGCCGAACCTCTGGCCAAAGTTCATAAGAACAGTGTTCTTTGTGGAAAACATCATCGTAAAGAGAACGACCGGGTATGCACCTGCGACACTCTGGTATGGGCGTCACGCCACATTTTCTATTGAAAACTTCCTGAAAACTTGGCGCGGGCAGGACCTGGAGAACAACTTGACTTTGGAAGAATTGCTAGATCTAAGGGCAAGGCAGATCAGCACCACTGAAGAAAGGGTGCAGGAAGCAATCATGAATGTTGCAGACAGCAGGGGAAAGGATAAGGAAAGGTGGGACAAGCTACCTAGAGTAAGACTCGAACCTCTACAAGTTGGCGAGACGGTACTGCTCTACGATTCCTCTCTGGAAATGCAGTGGTCGTGAAAATTAGACAAACGATGGCTAGGACCATTCAAAGTCAGGAAGCAGGGACTTCATGGGGAATATAAGCTAAAAGAGATGGATGGGACTCCAAGGAAGGACTGGGTCTCAGGATCTAGACTGAAGAAGTTTCGAGTCAGAGAAGAGGTAAACTCAGCTACGATACGAAAGCTTGAATAGACTAGGAAGGTATTTAGGCATGCATATGTGTATCAGTTTCTATGCAGGTATGTACTAAACTGCCTAAGATTATGCTAATACATATATGGATACATACATGCATATATATATATATATATATGTGTGTGTGTGTGTATGTGTACATACATGGATGCAAAATGGTATAAGTGGGGATATGTGTGTATATATATATATGTATATATATATCTATATATAAATATATATATGATATATATATATATATATTTATATATATATATATGAGTATGTGCGTGTATGGCATGCCTGATAAGGAGAGCATTGTCAACTTGTGTTTGACAAGGAATGTTGCCTTGATGATGATCTGACCCTTGTACCTGTCATTGGCTCCTTCTCTGTGTGCAGGCGTGACCCTTGGAAAAGAAGAGACCATGGCGCAAATGAGCAATGGCAGGACCCTCTGGACCTACCTTGAGAAAGGGCGGGCAGAGGAGGGATCAGAGAGTCTCAAGGAGCCTGGAGGAGTTGCCCATTTACAGGGCAGGAGACAGCCTGCGAATTTTTCTGCGAGACCTTTAAGAGTACGCATTCAAGAGAGAGTGGGGTGACAGGGAGAAGATTGCGAATGTGAGTGGGGCAGGAATGTACAAGAGGAGAATTGAAGGAGTGGTGGCAGGGTGCACGGGGTGGAAAGTATGCAAGGAGAGGTTATGGAAGGACATGGGGGCCTTCCCAAGAGACGATGTGGAGGATGACTTAAGGTTTGATGGAACCAATCTGGTGGACTTTATCGAGAGCTTGCAGCTGGCCGCAGAGAGAGGCGAGTGAAACAAGGATGAAAGGAAGAAATAACTGATCGCAAGATCAAAAGAGAGTGAAAAGGAGGAAGTTAAAGGAATTGTGGAAGGGAGCCGAACCTGGAAGAGAATAACAGCAGAATTGTGGATAGCCTACACCTAGGCCAGACAAGATCAAACAAGAAAAGAAAGACTGCAAGAGAAGGGGCTATGGATTGGAAGAGAGGTGGCTGAGCCACAAGGGAAGGAGGTAGAAGATGAAGAAGAAGATGATGTGCCTCTGAAGAGATTGAAGAACAAGACGAGGGTCTCCCCAAGAGCAGCAGCAAGGGATCTGAGCAGACTGAGGGGGATGAGGAGGAAGAGCAAGAGGCAGCAAAAGGGAGGAAAAGAAGCATGGGGGCAAGTATGGTACCGAGAAAGAAGAAACTTGGAAAGAAAAGGGCAATTGAGAGTGGAAGGGAAGAGGTATAAGAAAGGAGGAGTGAAAAAAGGGGAGGAGTGAAGGAAGCTGGAGAAGGGAAGAAGATCCAGGAAGGAGGTAAGGCTCCCAAGGTCAAGAGGACTGAGGAAAAGGGACCAATTGGAGACAGAGAAAGGGAAGAGGCAAGTGAGATACGAAGGAAGGAAGATGAGAGGGATGCCCAGGTGAAAAAGTTGATAAGAGATATGGAAGAGATGAGGGAGGAAATGAAAGGGTTGAAGAAAGGGAAGGAGGAATTACAGAAAGAAGTGAGCCAATTGAGGGTCACCCTGACTATGAGCGATAGAAAATTGGAGAATGAAGCGGCCACGATAGGAAGGATGAAAATAAGGATGGATGACTTGGGCTCTGAGGTCAGTGTGCTAGGACTGGACCTAGACAGTGAAGTCTCAGAAAAGAAAAGTTGAGACAAGAGTGGGAAAAAAGATGGGGTGAGATATTGGTAGGAATGAAGGACTCAGACTCAGCCATCAGGAAAAAGAGAAGGAAGCCACAGAGATGGTGGAAAGAAAGAAGGGTGAAGAGAAAGGGGTATAGACTGAGGAGAAGAGAGATGAGCCTCCTGCACCAGAAAAGGAGGTGAGTGAGAATATGGCTATGCCTCTGCCAAGACAGGGTAAAAGGCAAAGCGAATCCCAGTTGGACTCACCAAAGGAGGCTGAAGATCAGGCTGAAACTTCAATCCAACCAGACATAAAGAGAATCAAGCCTAGCATGGTTGGACATAGGTGTTTCTTCTGCACTCAGGAAAGGCACCTCAGGGATGAGTGTTCCATTCTAGCAATTTATATTAAGGAAGGAAAAGCCAAATATGATAGTCATAAGAGATTGGTGGCCGACACATGGCAGACCATTCCCAAGATACTTGAGGGAAACAGGGTAGCACTCCACATGATACTAGGACTGCCAGTTGATTTCTAGGTAGGAATATGTAAATGTTTTGAGTAAATTATGACTTGAATGGGCTTAAAAACAGTTATGAGAGGGAGAAAGGTGTAAATTAAAGCAAGTTTGACATGAGAACGAGTGAGACAAGTTGTGTGTTTTTCTGCAGTGAGATGAGGAGACTTAGGATAGGAAGTGGTATAGGAAATGACATGAGAAGTATTTGAAGGATAGTAGAGGGGAGTAGTGATCTGACTCTGTAACATACTTGTATTTATATATATTATTCAGGGGGATGAGCTGGTGAACACGACACACTTGTCACATTGTGTGTGGGCCTTTGTCTTTGGTTGAGTCTCTTGTAACCTAAGATCTCCCTTCGTCTATCACTACTAGACTCTGTTGAGATCTAAGGAGGTGATAGAGGAATGGGCGGATCTATATTCATGTGAAAGTTTGATGAGTTTGTGAAGCTTCAAAAGCTGGATTGATTGTACATCTTTTGTTTGAGACCATGCTACGACATGGTAGACTCCTTTGAGTCTTATCAATTCTGTTGCAGAAATTCTTTGGCAATCTCTATGAAAGTGATGTTTTATTTTTGTGGATTCTGACAAGCAAAGAGTCAATAAAAATTTATTTTAAAAATAATGGTTATATATATATATATATATATATATATATATATATAAATAATGAGTATAAAATAACCCCGAGGTGTGTGCCTCACCGAGCTATGATAAAAGACTTGGCGGGCACAACCCTTAGTGGTAGTTTGACGAATGCTCAATTTATTATCTTATTTATTTGGTTTATTTTAAAAAGTATCGTTCATCCACCCTAAGGGTTAACCTGAGGGCATAAATTACCAAGCCTATGGTGGAACATTGGCATCGTAGGAACGTAACTCCCAACGTGGGCTTGGTAATTTATGCCCTCAGGGTGACGGCGTCAATCATAAAACCACATTTCATTTCAGGATTCGGATTTGACGAATTACCTTGTCGGAAAACACCTTTATGTGCATATAGTTCTCCAAGCGACGAGGACGTCGCTTAATGAGGTCTGGGATACTGTCGGACAAAATACCCTTACAAGGGTATTTTGCCATGTATTTGCATTAGGCACGGTGGCGGCGTCAGCTACCATGACGTAGCCAGTCTGGAACGAGATGGGGTGTGCACGCTTGGCATGACACTGGGAGCAAAATTCCTCGGCCACTAAGGCCGGGGCAAAAATCGGTGAGAAAATTTCACATGTGCGCGCGTTATTATGACGCGCGCCGTGGTGATTTGGATTAGTAGTAATACCCCTCGACAGAAGAGGTCGAAGGGTCAGATGGGCTGATAATTGTGTCAGGTAGGACTATAACACGCACTGAGAATTGGTCCAGTGCCTGTCTTCCCTCTGGTACTGGGTGTTCTAAAAATTTCAGTCTATTGTCTTCCCCTACTCAGCCTCCGGGTCGAGTATCTGGTGTGGTGCCAGCCTACCCGCCACTTGAAGTAATTACCCTGCTGCGACCCTTGATGCCGCGGCCACGGCTAAGTACCGGCGCCTCGGGCCTTCCGATGAAAATACGTGCCCTTGCGGGCCACGCATGCGCCTAAGGCGGCGGGCATTCAGATAGGCACGTAGATTAGCAAGCGTGCACGCTAGCGCTGGCTAGAGTGGGCTCAGGCCATTGGTTGGACTGGGCCACGTTACTTTATGAATACTAGAGCTACTCCCCTTTTACTCGAAGTGGGAGCTAGCTCAGTAGGTTTCAGTACAGGATTGATATGCGGGGGATCCGGGGATCAAGGCCTGCCACCCTCCGAGCTAGCTTCCTTTTGATAGGGAGCTCTACTTTCATTTTGCCTGGGGTTTGAACGGCCGGGACTTGAACCCGCGACCTCTTTAGTAAGGATAGATAAGGTAGTTGTCTCGTTGAAACGAGATACTACGTTTAGTAGTTAGATTCGTTCGTACTTTTATTTTACTTTTTTTATTATTATCTAAGAAGTAGATTTGTTTTCTTTTGTTTCTCTTTTCCCACAACTGCTAACTTTTAGATTCGTTTAGTGGACCTACACCCTAAATCCGGGCTGATCCAGCCAAAGGAAGGATAGAGGTCCAACAGTCTCTACCGTGAAGGCATCTGCCTATAGCACGGGGGTCCCTTGTCAAGGAGAGGACAAGCCACCGCGAGATCACGCTGAGGCGAGATCGGGAATCGGCCGCGCGATAGCCGGTGAAGAGCGCAGAAAGGCGAAGGGAGGACCACGAGAGGACTAGGAAAGACCACTCGTAAGGAGGAGAGAACCGTGAGAGAGAGAAAAGGGGAAACACGGAGAAAGGAGAAGGTAGTCGCACGAAAGAAGAAGAAGAAGAAAAGTCGAAGAAGGAAAGAGAAAGAAGAGGGGAAGAAGACTTACCTGATTCGATAAGCCAGCCACGGTGGCAACGACAAACCAGACGAAGACAGACGGCGTGTATGATAGAAAAGGAGAGTGAAGACACACGAAAAGAAGGGGGAGAGAGAGAAAAGGGAGAGAAGAAAAGGGAGAAGTGGAGAGGGAATACTTACCTGACCAAGGCATAGCAACAAAGGGGGCTGACAACGACGGCGACCCTGACGACGACGGTGACAACGACGAGGAGCGGGAGAAGAGAACGGGTAAGTCCCGTCCCACGCAACCAATCCCGATACTCCCATCAAATAGAATAAAGATAATAATAATAATATAATAAGTAATAATAATAAGATTGAATAAATAAATAAATAAATAAATAAATAAAACCAGTACTCTCAGTCCATCTTCCTCTTCTCACCCTCTCATCGCCTGACTTCTCAGAATCAACAGACTACGATAGAGAGAGAGAGAGAGAGAGTTGTGACTTGAGACTAGGCGACAGTGGATCCGGACGCGACAGTGGGATTCATACATTTTGACGAGTAACTATTTGGGCCTGTGCCGAAGACTTGGTGTTGACGACATTCCCATCTTCCCCTCGTCTTCGTCTAACCTCCCTCTTCCTCGTCTGGTATGGTCGGGGCTGGCGCAATCTTCCTGTGTAAGGCGCCAGACCCCTTTACACCATGGAATGATAATGATGATGTATGTTCGAAGTTGCATTGCAATAATGATTGCTCGGATCATCGGTACCTAAGTTATCCACTACGCTGTCTCGTACTTTGTGCGAGGGGTCTGTTCTCGATCCGATCTGCACCAATACAGTAGGCGACGGTGGTGCTCATGTGTGGGAGAAAGAGAGGAGGAGATGGAGGAGGAGAGAGAGAGAAAGGAGATGGAGAAGGAAAGATGGAAATCAAGGAAGAAGAGAAGGAGGGAGAAAGAGAGAGAGCCTATAAGTCTCCTGCCCGCTCCTCGCCGCACGCTACCTTGGATTGATAGAACGAGCAAATCAAAAGATAGCAGTGTATACTTCCACGTTTTTAGCGGAAGATTCATTCTGTTTTGCTCGTCCTAATCGATGGGATGTGTGTGTGTGAGGCATTCATGATTCGACCGAGGCGAGAGAGAGAGAGAGAGAGAGACTATAAAGCCTCCAACCTTGGTTAACAGCCAAGTCTTCAGCCCGCGGCTCGCCGCGCGGCACTTGCATCGATAGATGAACAAAATTTGAATGAATCTTCCGCCAGGGCATGAAAATATACGTACTACACATGTGTATGTCCGCGTGTGTGAGTGTGTGTGTGTGTATGAGTGAGTGGAGCTGTAGATACTTATCACATGACCGTATCTAACCGAAAAGATGGCTAGTATACATTAGCTTTCTTTGATTATTATGTACCATTATTATTATTATTATTATTATTATTATTATTATTATTATTATTATTATTATTATTTGGTCATGATTGCGGACTCGGTTGTGTATGTATAGGGAGTGTTACGTACCTGAGCTGAACACACACTACACCAATGAATCCAACGAGTTGATTGCTTGGGTTGAAAGGCCCGGGTAACCTTCCTGAGGCTCATCATGTCGGGTACAGATTGTTGTAATTATCGATCTTGAACGAGGAAAGCCAAGTAAGCACGAATCATCAGTTCGCACTGATTACATCCCTGCACTTTGTACGCACCGACCGTCACTCCTATTGATTGAATGGTCCAGAAAAGTGTCTGGGTTGCGGTGATCTTGGCGATCTGCTGATGGGGGTGCAAGTGGCATCTGTGAGTGAGGGATCGATGGTTATGAGTGAGTGATATGGGAGGCATAACTGGTATTTGCGGCAATCACCATTGGCCAATATCTACATGTACTTGGGGGAACTGTTGACATCATCACCAGCATTGTACTATAGGATATGCCACGTGTAGTCTGGACGTCGAGCGCCGGATAGGATACCAACCCGGATTCTTCTTCGTTGATGATAATGAGCCCCAACATTGTCAACTATGAGTTCTGATTTGATGTGAT